GGGGGGGGGATGTTGTTATAACTTGTCCTATAGAAATGGAGATGATTATCCCAAGTTTTTAGCTCAATCTGACTGAAGATGAGCATCGCTGTGTTGACTTCTTTTGGAATTGAGAGGTGGTCCAATTGTAGCGAAAGACAGACCTTGCAAAAAGGTTGACCTTTCCAGGCTGCGAAGGGCAACAGGCCAGAGGGGGTGTCGTCGGGGTCTTCCTTTGACAGGTCGACGTGAAGAGGCAGATTTCAGACTCTCTCTACTCTACTTATTCAATCAACTGGCTTTGAAGTTCCAACGGAAAGCCACCGATTGACTGGCTGACTATCAAGCGGTTCTTGTGTAGGATGCTCGGCTTGAGGAGATCGACGGAAGGAGTATGTTAGGCTCATTGGGAGAGGATGCCAACTCTAGGATTGTTGCTGGTCCATCTGCTGAGCGAAAGGTGGAGTTTCCTGTTTTTGCTTAACATACCCCTGTTAAGTTGCTTGGGCGGGATATCAACTTTGGGATTATTTACCTTAACAGGCTGGTTTGAGTTTCCTTTTTTTTAAGGTGGATGTTTCTGATCAGATGGGACATCAAAAGGCCAATTCTTAATTGTTGACCTGAGGCTGTTGACCACAAAAGGTTGATTGATCACTGAAGTAATGGACGAGGAAGTTTTTTTTGGACAAGGAAGTTTTTTTTGGACATCATTTTCTGAGAGTTGGGGATTCAACAAGATCTGGAAAATAGTTATTTGAACTTTGGACCTTGGAGCTGGAAATGGACTCTGTAGATGTCTTCCTATGGAAGGTGGGGCTTCAACAACGAAGAGGGGTCTTCCTATGACTCCAGGGTCATATATTACACGAATGGTTGACTTTGTGATGTTGACTTCGCACAAAGAGAGAGACGGGTGCCATTGAGAGCTTTCGCTCGAACGTGTCGACCCGGCATTTTTGTCTTTTGGGGATTGCATTGATTGCGACAATGCAAAGGCATTTGGGTGAGGTGGTCATGTTGGACGGCACATCACACCGACAATGAGTACTTTTTTTTTCCCCCCGCTTCAGCAGATCGCAACCCAAAGGCAACGATTCCTCTTTGGGTTCGTTTGTTCCTTGCGGCAGTGCAGATGATTTGATCAGTCCATTGTCCGAGCATTTGGCATCAGCCACAGCAGCACTGCAGCGATTATCTGGTCTATCATCCACTTCGAATTTTGAGCACGCCGAGCTGAACTGACCGTTCAGCAGCTTGCCCAGCTTGGTATTTGAAGCACAGTCGAGTGGAGCTGAGTTGCGCTGACCTTTCAGCAGCTTGCTTGTTCATGCCTGCCTTTCTCCTTTCTTGTTCAAGTTGCATCAAATTGCTGTCAATGCTGTATGCGTTTTTGGATCAGGCGGATTCGATGACTTACCTGCAATTACTGCATACATGTCAGAGTGCTCTGATTACGCCAGCGGATTCGATGTCAGCACATTGTGTCGTTTGGTTTTACGTTGGATTGGATGCCAGTCTGTGGAGAAGCAGCAGCTGTGAAGCGCCACTCATCGCCTCATCAAAACTCTTTAAGTGAATGTCAAACCGTACACCGTAAAACCGAACCCTGAACCGTCAACCCTATGTCCTTAAAGCTGGTAGTTGCAGTTGGGGGCTGCAGGATCGACGAATTTCAAGGGGGAAGGGGGGAGAAGCGGATTTTCCATTTGCCGTCAGGCCTCTTTCTCTGTGGGACCGCTCTGTACCTGCTCACACGTTGTGCACCTGATGCTGCAGCAGATGGACCAGCTGGGTACAAGGGGTAGTAATTGAGAGACTACACATGTCGGTCTGGTGTTCCCACAGGCTACTGTGGCGTCGTCTTCTTTGGCTCGAATGCATGAAACCGGCGGCTTTGTTTTATGAAACAGTGTTGAAGAGAGGGAGTTAGCAGTGTAACGGTGTAACCCTCTTTGTTTGTCGACTTCGCTAATGATGGCATGTGAGTTTTCAGTAGTTTTCATGAGTGCATTGCAATAGTAGGGTGCACAAGCAGGGTAGTGAGTTGGCAGTCTTAACCCTCCTTGTTTGTCCACTTTCACAACTCCTCGAAGTTCGAACCCCAGTAAATGTTATTGGGGTTGAAATAGCTGATAACAGGCTTAAGCGCGAGTAACAGTCTTAACCGCTCAGTCAACAGCTCAGTCAACCGCTCAGTCAACCGCTCAGTCAATCCCCCTGGGAAACCTGGGGTAATCAATGCTGGCGGAATGCTCTCGTTCTAATCCTGTGAATGATCCTGTCGTACGGCATGTAAGGGACGCTGGACCCGTTTTCCAGCAGGTGTCGCTCCCCACCAATAGATGGAGCTCCCCCCCAGGTGTTAGCGGGGCGTGTTAAAAATAAAAAATAAAAAAAATCCTGTTGTAAGGTGGACCCAGTTTCCAGCAGGTGCAGCTCCCCACCAATGGATGGAGCAACCAGGGACAAAAAAAAAAAGAAAAAGGAAAAAAAAGGGTGCAGTCAAAGGGGTCGAACATTCACTTTCAAGTTTCAACCCTTTTTCAATCCTGTCACTGCAAGCTTAGGTTGGTTGGAAGTGAAGAGTGCACACACCCTTGGACCTCCAGCATGGGCGGCGCCAATGGGAGTGGGCAGTGGAACCCTCCTTGTTTGTCCACTTTCACAACTCCTTGAAATAGCTGTTAACAGGGCAGGGTGCAGCCAACGGGGTCTGAACATTCATTTTCAACCCTGTCACTGCAAGCTCAGGTCAGTCGGAAGTGGAAGTGGGCAAGAAGAGGGAGATTCTGCAAAGATATGGGACAGAGAGGCAGATTGAGTTTATCTGAAATCTTGGGCGGCGAGTTGTCAGCCAGAATCACTGAGGTCAGTCTCTTGGGTTGATTGTGAGCCTTGATTGTGAGCCTCAGGGGTCTTGGTCACGGATAATGCTATCGTATGAGGACTCCAAAATATGTTTATTCTATTTTTGAAAATTTGCCCACCTGGCATGATGAAACCTCTCTCTCTCTCTCTCTCTCTCTCTCTCTCTCTCTCTCTCTCTCTCTCTCTCTCTCTCTCTCTCTCTCTCTCTCAACCGCAACAGGCTCCATGCATTTAAAGTGCAAAATTAATTAAAAGTCCAAAGCTCTTCCGTCTATCTATGCTTTCTTGCGTCAAATCTTCAGTGCTTTGCAGGCGCCGTCGACTGGCGTCAATGGCTTTTTGGTGATCGCGGCTACGTGAAGAGTCCGAACAAAAAACAGAGTCAAAGCCCTCTCTCTCTCTCTCTCTCTCTCTCTCTCTCTCTCTCTCTCTCTCTCTCTCTCTCTCTCTCTCTCTCTCAACCCCAACAGGCTCCATGCATTTAAAGTGCAAAATTAATTAAAAGTCCAAAGCTCTTCCGCCAGTCGTCTTTCTATGCTTTCTTGCGTCAAATCTTCAGCGCTTTGCAGGCGCCGTCGACTGGCATCAATGGCTTTTTGGTGATCGTGGCTACGTGAAGAGTCCGAACAAAAAACAGAGTCAAAGCCCTCTCTCTCTCTCTCTCTCAACCCCAACAGGCTCCATGCATTTAAAGTGCAAAACTAATTAAAAGTCCAAAGCTCTTCCGCCAGTCGTCTATCTATGCTTTCTTGCGTCAAATCTTCAGTGCTTTGCAGGCGCCGTCGACTGGCGTCAATGGCTTTTTGGTGATCGTGGCTACGTGAAGAGTCCGAACAAAAAACAGTCTCTCTCTCTCTCTCTCTCTCTCTCTCTCTCTCTCTCTCTCTCT